TTGATAATTGTTTAGTGCATATTTGTATAGTTTTGAATAAATGATAGACAATATTAACCAAAATAAAAGAAATATCAAGAGAGCAAATTAGATGACGAAAACCTGGACTGAAGCTTTCTCTTTTTCTTAATTCTCCATCTAGCATGTTTGTTCTTGTTAGTTTTCCTAAAACATCAAGAAACAATCGGTATTAAACGGATGATAGAAGAAATATAAAAAAGCTAAAGCAGACAGAACTTGGTGAAGATTTTACCATCGGTTATTAAATGATGCTATAAGCAATTGAAAATATATTTATAAAAGATGGATTTGTGTGATAGATAAACACGTGCCTTATCTGTTGAGGTAGAGATGAAGCATAAACTTGATATGGAGAGATAAGCTTAACCGTTTAACATATATTGTAGATAGATGATAAACCCAAATTATGAATTTATATGGATAAGATACACATGTCATGGATTAGTGTGCTAGAGATAAGTACTACAGGTTAACATGGACATTTATTTAATGTTTTCCACTTCACAATAGAGTTCAAATATACATTTTTTTTTCAGCTATGATTTTTGTAAGTTCTCTATATTGTATATTATATTATATTATAAACATAAACATAAAAGGTGCATGATTTATTTAAGATTTTCCATATAATAGAGTGGTGAAATTTTATTATTTATTTAGCATAATATTTAGATCTAATTCAAAGATGATCGTTGGCCGCTATAATTTTGTAGGTTATCAAAAAGAACAATGCACTGAATATATTCTCAATTTAACATTGTAAACAATCTTATGTAAATTGTAACTATTAATTGAATGTTGTGTCTCTTTTCTATTTCAACGATGAGAGTTGGCCGCTATAATTTTTGTAGGTTCTCGGTATAGAAGCATAAAAGGTGTATGATTTACTTAAGATTTTCCATATAATAGAGTGGTGACATTCTATTATTTATTTAGCATAACATGTAGATCAATCAGATATTTATAGGTACATTTATATAATGGAATATGAACGTACTCCAAAATACTTAATACTTATTTCATATCAAAATAAATTGAAATAACCAAATCCTAATAATATGATAAAGCGGCCAACTAAATGTTACCATAAATCCTAATAAAATGAAAAGTGGTCAGCTACAAGCTGCCAATAAACGTTTGTAATACGCCAAACTTATTATTATTGAAACCAAAGCATCTAATCTAATCTAATCTAATCTAATAATAATTTAAAAAGCAACCTAAAAACAATAATATATGATAATAAATATCCCATCACCAATAGAAATTCATTCTTCAGCTTTAGCCTTGCCCTTTTCATTAGTAGCAGAGCCCATTTCCTTAGTTTTAGTACGCGTGGGTGAATCAGACAGATCGTTCATGAGATTGCGCTTTGCTGTAGACGTGTCCCCCATATGCTCAATAGCTTGGACAACTTTCAATGGAGTTGTGGCCTCATCTTCCATAGATGAGTCCTATATTACAATGCATCAAGTAATTAATCATATAATCATATAATACATGTAATAGATGTAAAAAACAAAACACTAAATCTAACCGGCACATTATCGTGATCCTCCCTTTGCAAGATAGTGAGAAAATCTGAGTCCTACAAATATTATATAATAATTAATTAAAATTTGTGAAAATAATAAAAGTATTTTATTGAAATATAATCTTAAGACAAACAAAGCAAATAGCTACTAATACTCACTTCATTCTCAACCACCCACTGCTTGTACTTGGACACCAAGGAATCATCGGTTACAACCCTCACAACCGAAAAGATTGTATCATCACCATAGCTTTGTTTAGGATCAATCTTAACCTTGAAAAGCATCGTTTTACCAACCAAAGCCGCAACTTCATCAGGTAGTTCAAAGCTTTCAGGATGCTGCTTCAATGCATTATAGCATTTTCGTAAGCTAAATGACTAAACATAAGTTTAGTTTAAAAGATTGTAAATTATAACAAAAATAAATAAATTGTGTTAATAAATGTTGTACCTTCCTAACAAATTCGGCCCTCAACAATTGGCATGATATGCCTATCATTTTTTCAGATTCTCTATCCCAGCAAACAATAGTAGCATTAGTAGATGAGTCTACTACAACCATACGAATCTTGAACCTGTTTTCACATGAATTTGAAATCGGTTAATGTATTGTCAATAAGAAAATACCTATAAATTAAAATTATATTATCATTGTACCTAAAAATCCCAATCTTGTGAGCACATCTGTTACATTTGAATTGACCGTCCTCATCGTTCATCTTTGCATTGCACTTCCGGCAGGCTAGATACCACCATTCATCAACTATTGACTCAATTGTTGCACAAACCCAAGTCTTCATAGCCTATGTTCGTAGGAAAAACACATTAAATTTTATGTAATAAGACTCATATAATAACAAAATAATTATTGTAAACAAATACCTCATCGGTGTCAAATAGCGAGTTAATCGAACTAACAACGGCATCTCCACTTTCCAATTCTTCAATTTCACTTTTGAGCACAATCTTGCTATTGGAGATATATTTCTTGTCCTTGAAATCGCTTGTGGAAAACCTAGAATGTTGGTGGAATACATGTGAAATTTTGAAATTTATATAACAATACTAATAGCTTTTATTACCTCCGCCAGAACTCCCTTATTTCAGCCATTGTATCAATTGCAATAAGCCTTGTAATATTCATGGAAGTAGTAAGTTGAACTTCGCCTATATAGTAAAAATAAAAAATAATTAAATAATCGCACAAATGTAAAACTATTGAAATCATGGAAATTATATACAACAATATATACAATTTCAAATTTACCTCCCCAAGGGCGAGCCCTGCATAGTTGCATGATTAATACCCATGGCTGACCGGGTGCAACTTCTTGATAGTGTTGTTCGAAAGCCAGAAATTGGTCTACGTAATGACCCCAAAGCGTGCAAGGTATAGCAATGCCACTGTAATAAATCAAACAAATATAAAACATTAAAGCATAATACAACATTAATTAATTATATAATATAGTGTACAGATTATATATATAATATAGCATGTAGTATTGTTAAAAAAACGTGTGTAGTTTTTAGTGCGGTTTATATTTTATAAGGAAGGTTGTTGTTACAATATTGTTACAATTTTATTTTTATATAGCATGCAGTATAAAGAAAGCGTGTGGTTTATTTTAAAGAAAGCATATGGTTTATTTTATATAGCATGCAGTTTTGTAATATTTTGGCTCTAGTATAATGACAAAGGCAAACATAAAAAATAAATATAAAAAAGTTAGATAAAGGCAGAAAAAGGTATTTCTTACGCAACGTCCAACAATGTGAAGATGATCATTTGGTTAGGTTCTCCACGAACAATTTTTGACTGAACCGAATGTACCTCAAATACCATTCCAATGACATCTAAAATTGAAGTTAATTTGTTAGATTATAAAAATATAAGAAAAATAAGTTTTAACGTTAAAATAGATGTATGTAGACTTACCAAACAAAAAAGACTCATCCACTTTGTCACAATCTTTAAGGGTGACAAAATTGCGGAAATCAAATGGGAAAGAAGGAAAATTGGCATGATAATCCAAGACTTCAGTTTTGCCGTGAATAATCATTTTGTATTGCGCAATTGTTGATCTATATTTACCAATATTAGATTCAACTTGGTAGTTTCGAATTGCGTACGATTTGCCCTCTTCAAACCTGTCACCTAGGGTAGGTATGTTAACTCCTCGAATTAACCCGGTTATGCGGCCGCCCTATACATGCATTTAACAATTAAATAAATGTCAAACAAATATGTTGATTTGCATAGATAGTTAATATAGAAATAATAATTTGTAATAGTTAAAGTAAAAAGTCAAACCTCCTTGTCATGAAACACTATTTCCAAGTAGTTTCGGTATGTGGCATTGAAACTTCTCTCGAAAATAGAGACAACCCGAAGCTTCATCATGTATCTCTTACTTCTCTTTATATCCTTGATAAGGCCCCATGATTGATCCATTTTGGAAGCTTGTGTGTGAGAGTATGAGTATTTGAAATGAATTATGCGTAGGATGTAGTGGGCAAATTGAGGTAGACAACTCTATTATTTATAGTTAATATGTGAGTTATTGATTTATATGATATATTATAATAATGAACACGATATGCATAAGAAAATATCTTGATATTGTTAGTGTGCAGATAAGAGTTTTGTGAAAACAAATCTCATGATAGACATTAATGGAACAATTTGATATTCTAAAATCTGGAGTTATTGATTTATATGATATTCTAAAATCGTGCACAAACCAAATTGTAGATAAGCATTATGGGAGAATATATATCTTGATATTGTTAGTGTGCAGATAAGAGTTTTGTGACAACAAATCTCATGATAGATATTATTGGAACAAACTCTTATTAGATAATGTTTATTTCTTTCACAAATATCAGCATGATTGATCAACACGAGATTTATCTTATAGACTAATACAGAGTATCTGAGTTGGAATGAGAGTAATCAACTAATCTATATTTCAAGTAGTAGATTACCCCTATGGCTTTCTTTATTCCCGAAAAGTAATCAAGTAATATATATCTATGATATGTAAGTTTTTTGTTTTCACATATACCTACTTGATTAACATGCACCGGGATTTAAAATATTATTAACTAACATACCATATCAATTTCAATAATTATTATAAACTATATGTTATCACAATGTTAAGTGGGAATTCAAATCCTACGAAAAATTATTTATCTATAATCTATAATATTGGATTATTTCATTATTACAAAATTTAGTATTAGTATTAGTATATTAATTATTAGGAACAAATCTAATATTTCTTCAATTTCAACAATTAGCATATTAACTATTATTTATCATGGAATTGTTAGTTGGCAAATTATAGTTTTAAATTAACAAATGTCTACATTATACTATTATAGACATTAATGCGGGTTTAAAATACTATCTACTAATATACCATATCAAATTCAATAATGATTTTCGTTAAGATTTTTATTATCAAATTAATTGATATAAATTTGTATGTTATTGAGTTTTGAAAATTTAGTAAACCAAATGGTAGACACGAGTTATTATATATATTGGCATTGTTAGTTTGAAAGTTAGAGTTTCATGTTTTCAAAAATCTCCACATGATAGACATTAATGGGATTTTAAAATATTATTAACTAACATACCATATATATTTCAATGAGTTCACAAATGAGTTGTGATGAGATTAATCAACTAAGATATATTTCAAGTAGTAGATCTCGGCTATCGCTTTCTTTATTCCCGAAAAGTAATCAACTAATAAATATCTATGATATGTAAGTTTTTTGTTTTCAC